TTTGTCTCTAATTTGAAATAAATCCTATTGGGGAAAAAAACCCAACCTCATCCTCCATATGTGGATGTCAGAGTGCAGAGGAGATTAGCTGTTACTAAGAATAAGACCGACGTGCGCTGTGACGACAGCTGGATAACAGGCACCAACAATTGCAAACCCCCAATGTGAACTGAGCACCAGCCAAAGTCAGAGAAATGTGGTTTCCTATGGATAAACCTGGGCTGATCCCAGGCCCCTTCTGCATACATATCCCTGAGCCCAGCACATGTGAATCAATCTGGTGCTTGGCATTAAAGCTACAAATACAACACTGTTAAGAGGCTTTCCCTGCAGTTAAAATCTGCTGCTCTGAGGCACTGTTCCCAGTGTGGCCAGTAACTGTCTGGGCCTTTTCAACTGGCTTACAGTCTGGCACATTGCCACATTTGGGAGATTTTCTAAATGCCTTATGCAATTTTGGCAGCAAATCCAAATGCAAATACCAGCAACCTAGACACACCTATTATTTTCTTCAGCTGGTTTGAAAAGCCATAGAAAGCAACACAGCAAATGAAAAGTGCTGAGCAATGGGGAACTCCACAAGAAAACCCCCTGGCTATCCAGACCATTCCAGCTCCAAAAGAATATGCACCCAAGATTTCAGTCAGGGATTGTTAAAATGAAGGCTCTCACCACCGGTACAGCTGAGATGGGGGTATGAACTGTGAAGTTGATTACTGCTGCGTTAGGACCACCGTGAGCTGGGCTCCACTGTGCAAGTGCTACACCAGGATCTGGTAATGTGCTGGAGAATCTCACAGAAATTCTGGCCATGTTATCACTTCACATTTCCATTGCTGCAAGTTTTGGGGACTCTTGTCTTGCTGAGCTTCCTGATCTGGACCACCACCAAATTCCTGCTCTTCCCTCTCCTCCAGCTGAAGTAACTGTAGGATAATTTCTCCAACTGCAGAGGACAGAAATAAACCCATATTTGCACAAGCTTCTGCACCTTTACCTTGAAGTGGCTGTGTTGTGCTCCAGGCTGCTCTGACAAATTCACTATGTTGCTACAAACAGCAGAGAAAAATGTTGTCAGCCAAATAGAAAGGTGGAGAGAACTCTTTTTAGTTATCATTTCACAGAAAGTTCTGGAGTCCATTTCTTTTAAACACAAAGCAAAGGAAGAATAAAGAATTTAAAATAGCTCTCTAGCAGGCAGTTTATTGCTTGGTGCAGTGTCAGTTCAAAAAAGCTCTTTTGCTGCTGTTCAGTGGATCCTAAAGCTATCCTCTTTTACCAAGTGCTATCAAAACCTGTAAGCTATGAATATTATGTAAGTTATATATGATATATCCTAGTAAAGTTTTACACTAGGTCAGCATCAATAGCCCTGTACAGACCATGCAGTCAAGCACAGCTTTATTTGTGCAAGAGATGGACCTGGCCACTCTCTGTGCCAGGAAAACTTGCTTTGAAGAGGGTTCTTCAGTCCATGTAGGCCATCAGACCATGCCCTAAAACCTGTTTTTTATACCCATCTTCCTTATCACATCACCCTCGTTCCTCTTTGCTTTAAACAATATTGATTAAAAAAAAAACCAAACAAACCCCAACAATGGGCATAAACAATAGAGGCCTTCTATATATCTCCCTCTCTTCCACAACCCTGTGCTCTCCTGTCCCATGCTCACCAGTTGAGAAATGTTTTTGACATGTGGTGTAAAAATAACTGCATTGATGGCAATGAATACCTTTTTCAACAGACACCTGTGCTAGGAATATCCCAGCTGTGAAAGCTCACCTGTTTTTTCCTCTGAATGTACTGCCTGTGTTTACTACAGAAGTCCAGCAATGAGCAGGGTCAGCACTCCCCCTCTTCCTTCCTCAGCAGGGGAGCAGTAATACATGTAAAGAAGGATTCATCTGGACAAGAAGCTTTGCAGTGCAGCGCGCTTTATTCCCCTCGGTCAGATAGGAGGTAAATCCTGTTTTTCCTCCCACAAAGGGTATGCACCAGCTTTCAGGTTTTAATAACTTTCTTCAGTGCAGCCAGAAAATTGTTTGATGGACACACTCTTCCAGCAAAGTACAGCCAAGGCAGCAAGTACTTAGCAATTCAACATTACATAAGACAAAAAGAACACATTATACCCTATCAGTTATCATCCTCCTAACTGAGGCTTAGTGAATAGAATTTCAATTATATTATATATTGAGATATATATATATCCAAAAGATAAAGATATATAGATAGATAGATATGTTTATATAAATGACATTAATGAATAAGCTAAAATGTGTTAAATACTGCTCCTACCATACAGGCAATCTATAATACCAGGAAACATAGTTTGGAATACAAATTGGAGCAGAATTCATCCCAAACATCACAGATACCCTAGAAGCCACTTGCTTTGCAAGCTCTAAAATGCTACATGCTAAAATGTCTTGCTATCTTCAGTCAAAGTGTAGGGTGGGAAAGAGAAAGAAGAGCACAGAATTAAATTTAAATCTCCTAAATTGAGCCAAGGACAGAATTACTCATGATGGAACTCGGCTAAGACAGACGATCCTCTCATCTGCTGTCTTTTTTTATCATCTTTCCTTTTTCTCTTCTCTCAAAAACAGTATTAAAAATATACGGAAAAGATCTGGTTTTCACCCAAAAATGAAAATATTTTCTGTTAAATTCTCCAGGAATGCATTTACACAATTTTTGGATGGAACATACCACACCACCTCATACTCTGCCTCCATGTTCCATCTCCAGCTTCAACTGCCAGAACCATGTCCATGGGGAGCCACCTGTGTCGAAAGGAACACCTTTATGATTTGTACTGTTTGACAGGAACTATGTTATTAGTTCTCCTACTATCTTCCTCCAGTGAAATGACAAATCTACAGAGCCAGATTAGCTGGATTATATCTTTACAGCACCCCCTGAAGCTGTTATTTGCTTATGAGGAGCACAGCAGGAAATGACAATTTATGTAAATGTATTTTAAAACACAGTAAAATTATTTTATTTAGTTTCCATTTCTGAACAGTATTTATCCACCAACAATTAATTACAACTCCAGTACCAAGATTAAAAATAGTCTTTCATAGTTTGCTTTGACAAATTATGGACTTTCTAACGTCAAAAATACTCACCAACACCTCTGAAGCCCAAAATAGTTTTAGGCTGTCTAACAATATGTCATCATCTGTTCAAACTACATCTGAGAAAACTCAGGTAGAGGTACCAGCTGCAGCATGAACATCTGCCTGCCATTTGAACAAATGACTAAACAATTCCTCAACCACCTGCATTTTGGCTCAGTCATGCAAGGTTATGTAGTTTCTCAGTTATTTCAGCTTAATGTCTAAATCAATACCAGAGAATGCAGAAGCAAGAAAAGCTTTAAATGCCCACACGTCTACCATTAAAAGAAGACTGGAGATGCTCCCAGCTTCAGTAGCTTTTGCTCTCATTCCTTTACGAAACTGTTTCATTACAATTGCTCAGCAGAGCCAAGTAGAGAGTTTAGGGCAAAATGTCTGTTCCAGGCTTTACGGTAACGCCAACACAGGCAAGGCCAACACACCTTTACACAGGGCTTCTGTATTCAGCTTTTTTGCAAAAAGGAAATACATTAACCATTTGAATGCACACTGGCAGGTAGACAAGCATTTTTTTGCTAGTAAATGCTAGCAAGAATTTATTTTCTTCTTATAGGTAGAGCAACCAAATAGAAAAACATTTCTGCAGGAATTGCTCCTCCATGCCACAGACTAGAAAGGTCCGAGGTGCTGAACTCCAGCTCCTGGCAGCCACACAGATTTCAGCCAGCCTGGCACAAGAACCACTTTGCTTCCCCACAATGATTCTGACAGCAGGGATTTTGAGGTGAGGTAGTTTATCAAGAGCCATACTACAGATTCCAAATTTCTTATTAAAAACACTCAAAAGACAGCAGATGACCTTTCCACAGGGCACTTCATTACAGAAGAAATTTCATTTTCACTGAAATTTTCAGAAATGTGATTCATTCTTTTCCAGTGGCGAGGTCTCCAGTCTTCCATTTTCATCTTTTAACAAAGTGTAATTACAGCTCATTGCACTTTTTTATTCTTACTTGTCTATGTAAATCCCACTTGAACTGAAAGCCAACCAGCATTTATTTATTTAAATATTTAATTAATTAAATTTAATTCATTGAATTATACATTCTTCTTGTATAGATACTCTCTGTATTCTCTATTAAAAGAAACAATTGGTGTAAAGGTGCTTATTCTTGTTCAAAAGACATTATCTGAAGAATTATTTAACAATTTCATTCTTAAAATTAACTCAGTTCAGACTCCAAAAACAGGTGCCATTTTGCAATTCAGTAACGTACTTCCTGCAGCATTCAAGTCTTCTCCTCCCAGACATCCTTGGTGTTAAAACTGCCATGAAGTTTTTCAATACTTCAAGTAGAAAACTGTTCTTCAGAACAATCCTACTGCCAACTTAACAACGGACAGAGCATAATTTAATTTGGATTTTAGGGTCTAGGAATATTGATCAAAATTATGCAAAAGAACATAAGCATGTACACTAACTGGGACAACAGTTATGACTTTTATGGTCTGGGAATATCAGTGGAAAAATAAACAAAGCACATTTTTGAGCAGGCATAGCACTTCTGAAGCATAGGGCAGTGCCCCCTGTCTGCATAAGAACATGGTGTGAATTCACATACTCTCACAAGGAACAGGGTCACAAAACTTCATGTATTTCTGTAGCAAGCCCATTTGAGGCATCTTGAGGGACTCAGGTTGAGAAAGCAAGATGTTATCTTCCTCCTGTCTAGGCAGTATTTGCATTCAAAATTCTCAAGATTAAAAATAGCTGGATTCAAGAAGCCAGATTGCACACTCACTTGTAATATCCATTCCAGGAGTCCAGAGACCTCACCACCAGGTATTTGGGGCAACATCAGATCCTGTGCCACAAATATACTTGAAGGTAAAGGAAAACCATGCCAAAAATGTTATTCTTTATGAATTATTTTAATGAATCAAATATGAAGTGACAAGGTCACAGGTCAGGTCACAGGTGACAGGTCAAGGAAAATAACACAAAACCAGCCCCACCAGCTGCTGACAGAAGGTAAAGATACAAGAAGAGCTGAGGACGATTTGAGGGCAAAGAAGAAAGCGTAGTGAGAGATAATCATCCTTGCCAAAAATAGCAACCAAACAACCAAATCACATAATAGTTTAAATTTCATGTCAAGTGCTTAAATAAGGTCTCTGTTTTTTTTCTTAACACAGTGAGTACACAGAACAATAGAGAATGGGCTCTCCCTGAATTCGTGGCAACAGGTCCTATAGAGCATATTCCAGATTTCTCCAAATACTGGAGATAAAGGTGGCTAAGAAGAGAAGCAGAGAAAGTGAGGACCCTTTGTTACCCAGCCAGGTCTCAAGAATGGAATGTGATTTCTAGACCCAGTATCTTTGGCATAGGTTCCTTTTCAATGTCTGCGCGAGTGCTTTAATCCCATGACTGTGAAGGTTGCAGCAGTCAGTTTCTCATACACCAGAAACATAAGAGCAGCAGTAAGGACTGTTTGCAGAAGCTTTGCTTCAAGGCCTTTATAGAGTCCCATTAATCCAAAGCGCCTAAGGAGAAAAAAACCAAACAAGAAAACAAGTATGAATAGCTTTCTGTAAGTAAATCTGTACACTACAAAGAGAAATCAATATCAAAAGTTAATGACAACTGTAGTAATCTTAAACCCATTCTTGATCTTGAGCCAGCTATGTTTAATAATATTTTAAAGAAAAAATTCTGCAGCAATTTAAGGTCTTTTGTGCAAGAAACCTGCTTCAAGTTGAGATGTGAAATGAATTAGTATCCTTATGTATTCTTGATGTCATTTACTGTACAGACATTAAGGAGAATTTGTGTTTGTGGGCTTACTCTACAATATATTACAAAAACCAGGTTGACTCAAATGTCAAGTTTAAAGGAGGCAAAAGGAAACAAAATCCAGATCCAGCAACATTTTTGAAATATTAGTAATATTCAAGTCTTCTCTATCATGGTAGGAGAAACAAAATGAGAAAGCTCACCTCACTCTCTGCTGAAGAAGGTAAAGAACATTTCTAAGACTGCCTAGTGTTCGGTTCTCTGGGTTCAACCTGTGACGTCCAAACTGAAAAGGAAGAAGAGTATTTTGCTGTACTGTTTCTCCACTGTGCTTGGCAGAGAACACCATACATGCATGAAATCTGGAGACCCTACCCTAAACCTCTTTAAACATTTTCCACATTATAGGACCACCAACAGAGAACAGAAGCCAAAGCTCTCACTGCAAGCATTAAAATCGTTCATTCTACTGTAATTTGGTTTGGTTTGAAGATGGAGTCCAACAAATATTTCCTCCCTTTCAGTTGCTCTGCAGGAAGCAGTTTTCAAGATCTCAAAAGTGTAATTTGCAGAGTCTTAATAAGAATATGACACTCAAAGCAAGTTCTTTCTGGCTTTCTCAGCTTTCACTTTGCAAAGATTCAGACTCTCAGACATCTGCAAATCATTACTACATTGAGACTGCAAAACTGAACACAAAATTTATCTGCCCAGCAATGGTCCTGGAGCACTTATGCATGAACTGCTGTGGAAGAATTCAAAATTGTTTGATCCACCACGTACCTGACCTAAATAATATTTCTCTTTTACTCAATGCACTTGCTTATCCCCAAGCTGGTTTTCAGTAGGCATGATAGCTGCTGCTGTAGAGTTAAACTAGCAATTTCAGCAACTCCTTTTCTAGCATTCATTGATACTCTTATCTGATACAGGTCGATAGTACTGTCAGCAAGCTGTAACTATGAATTATTAATATACAAGAGCTGGCACACTTGTATTTGTAACAGCACAGCCTAATAGCTTTTTGAGACTGCATTAAGCTTCTGTGCTAAGAAAGGTGATCTTGAGCAACTGCATGTTGGATAATTTTTTTCTCAGAACATGCTTAGGCAACTGCTATTTCTTAGGTGTAAGAAATTGCCATTGACAGTAGGTAAAGCATGCCCCCTGATTTCAGGTAGCTCAGAAATTTTAAGAGAATGCTAGGATGATACAGGTTCCTTTACTATGTGTCATAATAACTTGGGTGGAAACAGCAGCCACAGAATGCTAGTGGAAACCCCCTGTTATTAGGTAAATATGCACTCAAAATCCACAATCTTCTTATCAGCAACTACTCATTTGATACTGACAAATCAGTGTTAAAAGTGATTGTCAAAGACTCAGACATGCCCCCCAAAAATTGCTAAGTTACAGTGTCAGTCACTGCCCAGATTATTCACAGGCTTCCACACTACACCACCATAAGGTGCCTCATTCTCCTCTTTTCTCCACCACTAGACAATTTTTGTACTACAAACAAAGGTCCATCAAGACAGAAGAAACCATTAATTTTTCACCAGGATGTTAGCACTTCAGTGTTTACTGCAGAAGATTTCCCAACGGGATTAACATTCTCTATGACAGTGAAAAAAAAGATTTCAGTTTTAAAGACAACTTTTTCATCTGGGATCACTGAGAACATTAATGGTACTGCTGTACCTCCAGAGGCAAATTTCATTTATTGGCTCTTTACTGACACACAGGCTAAAGAACAGTTTCACTGCACAATGAGTAACACCAGTGTCCATAGTTTTAATGACTGGGAGAAGGACATATCAAATGGCAAACCTGGAAGCTGCTATCACTGTCAATTACACAAGATAACAGTTCATTATATGTCAGTAAGAGAACTGTGACAGAGTTGAAAGCAAAGGTGTAGAGACTTTATTACAAAGAACCCTAATAACTTTCAAAAAAGAGTAAGTTTCTAAAGGTTTAAGGTTAAAAAGAAAAAAAAAAAAAGCCCTGTACTATTTTGATGACAGAATTTAGTTATGATATGTAAGTTTATATTAATTATATTGAGCTTACATTAGTTTGTGTGCAAATCTGCTAAAATTGTTTTTAAAAACACCTGCAACTATATATTTTATTTTTTTTCATGCAGAATATTATTTCTGAAAATACTAAGCCTTTACTCATAACCTTCTTTTTAACATCACTTAGTGTGAGTAACAAAAACTTCATTAGCTAGAACAATACCAACTTTAGATTAGAAAACATGTCACAAAGTAGAGCAAATCTGAACTGGACAGCAAAGATGTCACAGACACACATTCCTGCTGTCCTTGACAGTTGTGCTCAGAGCTCCTGGCTATTCTTTCATAGAGCAAAGAAAGAAGTCATCCCTAGTGACTGCAGAACTAGAGACAGGGTCTTTGTGTTCCCCATCATCACAGGGAGAGGATGGACTGGCACGGGATTTTTCTTTTTTTTTTTTTTTTTTAACACTGCTATTAAGAGTCAGAAGAATTTTATTCAAAAAGCTGAAAGGAAACAGAAATATCATGAAGCCTCAAGACTGTAACCACTTCTCTAGGAACCATGGAAAGGGCTGAAGCTGTTATATGGCTGCAGCCCCATGAGACCTGCACTGCTGTGCAATGCTCAGGGCTAAAACAGAGCACTCCAACTTTCCCTTCCAGCTCTCCCTCACACCAGGAGAAAACAGGAGCATCACAAATTAGAAATTGACTGATGTTGCAACTTATCCAAACAGAGATATTTTTGCTTAAATGTTTTTCTGTATCTGCCACTCCAGTAGCAGAAGCCTGTGTTATTAGTTTAGCTACTACTGAGACGTGCCCAGGCTGTTAAAACAGGATAAGGCATTGAAAGAAAACACAGGTTCAGCTGATCAAAAATTAGGCAAACTTCAGAAAACATGACTCCTGACAAAATTACACAGTATTTGAAATACAGCATCCTAACTATCTTTTTACAGTTACAAAAAATCAAGATACATTTATTACAAATTATTATGAAATTTGCTTGAAAAATATTTTTTCCAGATGAACTATTAACACAAAAATTCCCTCATTAGAAAAGTCTGAAAAGTGATACTCTTAGCATGGAAGGCTTGTTTTCAGTAATTCAACTCATTCTCCAAATTTGTCCAAGTTTTAGAACATACACAATGGCTTTACTGTACAGGCAAGTTAAGGCTCCTCCTTACTTAGGAAAATATATTTCATGTGGAAACACTTAATAATATTTAACTGTTACACAGTTTAAAGTACAATATGCTTATGCATCACCAGGTCTCTCCTTCCCTCCTACTCCCCAGTTTTGTCTGGTGTCAATATTACAACAATATTGGTACACTCTGAAGGCAGCAGCATTATCCAACATATATACAAATTGCAAGTAAGAATAAATGCAAGTGTTTCCATTAACACCACAATTAGCCTACATGGCCAGGCAAGTGGTTAAATATATTATTTATGAAGGTTAAAGATATTATTTATGAGGGTTAAATATATTATTTATGAGGTTAAAGATATTATTTATGAGGGAGTTCAGCTTCCCCTGTTGAATTACATTCTGGACAATGACAAGGTCAGACCACCATCTGAACAACAAAACCTATGAATAAAACTTTTTTTTTTTTTTTAAATTACCATAGGTCATCTGGAAACAGGCTGGTTTTAGAAGACTTAATTTTAACTTCCCTCTTGACACATTTTGCACTTATATTCCAAGAAGTAAATGTACATTTTGTAGTGCCTAAAAGCAGTACAATGCATCACCTTCTGTGAGACACTACACCAATACAATACACTGACAATCCTATCAGCTACTTGAAACAAATGTGCACCAATATACCAAGCTCAATCAAAACCAAAAAAAGGAGAGCCATTCTAATCAATGACCTACATTGGGAAAAAATGCCTCCCAAGGCAATGGGTTCATTAACACAAATAAAAACAAGTCCTGTGAACAAGGCTTGCATCATACAGACCACGTCAGAGGCAGAGTTACCGTGAAATGCAATTACTACTTACCCGCAGAATTGACTGTACTGTCTGCAGAGGATAAGTGAGGGTGGTGGCAACTGCTTTGGCTATTGCACCAATGACAAAAGCATCCAAAGATGTGAGCTGTTCAATGGATAAAGAACAAATTTACTTCTACGTAGTACCAAAACAGCCAATTATCCATTTGTATTTGGGGATTCTGTACTGGTACCTGCTACCAGACTATCTAAGGATCTTCGGCAGAAAGATTTCATGAAATCTCAGGGTCTTGTCATTTTAAAGAGTAGGTTATGGTTCAACTAACTTTCCCACATGGTACAGTTTGTTTGTAACTTCCACCTGTTTTCTCATTTCTCAATATAACTAGACTACAAAAACATGGTTGATATAAGGCCATACAATGAGACCATTTCAAAGCACTGAGAGTAGACAAAAGATAAGGAAATATCATTTAAGCACACCATCAATCAATTAGCATTTCAGTTTTTGCAGCAGTGGAATGTCATATGGTGCTTGTGGAAGAGTGACAGCAAAAGATCCCTTGAACATCACTCTGTTTTCCTGAGACATAATCACTACACTCCCAGGAGGAATTTTAGTCTCGATGCCATCGGCTAAAAATCTCATCCCTTATTAGTTAAGAACCCCTGCTGAAAGCCCATCCTCAGCACCAAAACTCACACTACTCCAGGATGCACCAAATATATTGTTACAGCCTATGCTGATTACAGTGCACCTCAGTCTAACACTGTGAATTAATCACTGAACATAAGTAGGTGCCCTTATCAAAACATGCTCAAAATATATTCTAAAACATATTGATTGCAATCAAAAATACACTCAAGCATGCACATCTTTAAAAAGGTCAACCTGATATATTTAGGACAAATAGGAAGAAAAATTCCCATTCCTAGCTGGAAAAAACCTTTTTCCCCCTCTTCACTGATCATGGACAAAGAAATGTCCTAATTCAAGATGAAACTAAGTAATTTAAAAGAAGCACAAGAAATAAATACATATAAATAAATAAATAAATTGTTATTTGCCAATAAGAAAATAACAGTGTCGATGGAAGCTAAGCTCATCATTCAAAAAAAAATGTGCATGATGTAACTGAGGAGATCCATCAGGCACAAATGGGGTGCTACAGCTGCAGTACTAACTAAAGACAGTAAAAAACCCAAAGTCTCATTGATGATGCAAAAATCTTATATAAAAATAATCTCACTATGTCTTGGGGAAAAACAAGATGGCTTGGTAACATACTGGTATGACCTAACATTCTAAAATCACAAATTAACAGCAAAGCACCTCATCTTAAAGATACATTATGATGTTATCTGAAAATGTAATACAAATGCTTTTCAGTTTGTTGGAACACAAAAGGAACAGAACATGAGTTCAGCTGAGATTCTATATCTGATATAGACAAGAAGAAAGAATAAGGAAAAAGAAGAGCACTAAAAAGCAGGGCCAGAAAAGCAATTATACTTCTATCCAGAAAATCAGGAAGTTATGATTGCAATGCTATGTCTAATTCTAGTGTCCATCCTTGGGAAAATTATACTGAAAAACTGAGGTCTTCAAGAAAAGACAGGTTATTATATACTGCAAAAATCGTTAAAAGCAGATCTCAAAATAGTCAGTATGTAAATATATAAAAAAGATGTATTAGAATTGAAAACTCTACTTTAAATCAAGACCTGTGAACATATGCAAACAAATGTGGACCAAAGGTTCAGTTTCATTTTTACAGGTAAAAGAATTTATTACAGGAATCTCTTCCCTAGGGACAGGAAAGATGCTCATCTCATTTCACACACCTGAACCCTTTTTAGACACACTAATTCAAAAAATCACTTGAAAATACAAGAACCAAAACCAAACCTATAGTCTGAATTTGTTCAAGTGATGCATTTCAAAAAACCTGTCTTGTAACAGAGCATGTTCATCATCTGGCCTCAAAACATACTCACTTGCACCCGCTTTTTCAGAAGCTTTCGTTTAAAGCCTTCATAAAACATAAACTGTATGGCGGGATTGAAGACCAGCAGCAAGGAGGGGAAAGTACCATTCCACAGAGCTAAGACTCCTTCATCTCGTACTATCTGATGAAAGGCATCTGAGACAAAATGTGAGGGAAAAACACATTAACATTTTGAGTACAGAACTCTGAATATAAAATATAAGAGAAGTTACTCTTAAAGCCTAATATTCAAAGTGTATAAAAATCCACACAGTCTTTTATGCAAGTATTTTTATCTTCCATTTTAATCCAGAAGTTAACAGAAAGGTAGTGACAAAGGAGGTTCTTGTTTGCATCACCATTAACATAAACAACATTTATCACCTGCAAGGGAAGATCATCTTTTTTTTTTACAAGTGTAGCATCCACATTAAGGTCTTCCAAACCTTCTTCAAAATAATAGTAATGTTTATTTGGTTAGTTGGTTTTAAAAGAAGGACAGCCTGAACATGCCAGTGATTAAGGGGAGTGAAGTTCAATTTTCAGACTGTCTGTCCAAACTCAAGACTACCAGCTACCACTTCATGGGGTTCACTATTGCACCACTATCTCTATGATAACATATGTGCCCTTGCAAAAGGTATTTCAGTTACAGGAGTGCACACTGCAAACTCCTAATTACCATCACAAATAGCCAAGTCCACTTTCCTGTAAAACTCAATGACTGCGAAGTGAAAGAATACCATAGATTACAAGGTGAAAACAGTTACATGAACTAAAGTCTTCCAAGTCCTTGATACATTTAATTTCATTAACTTCTCTTTGGTTGAAGACAACAACAGGGGTTTACCTATTATGCCTCTGTAATTGGTTGGTACAATGTCTTCATTTCTGAATTTTGCGCCCTGCAGCTTCAGGCGTGTGTTCACCACCCAGAGAGGGGTGGTCAAGAGTACATTCACTACTCCTAATGCAAAACACAGCACAAAGAAAATCAACATGAAACAGAAGGTTTCATATGTTCTCTTATCCCCTTTTCCCCCCTGATTCACATGCTACTGAAATTTCTGGTAGGAAGAAGGAAAAAACCAACACAGCACATGGGAAAAGTAAATGATAATTTGTACCCTAATTCCTGTAGCCTTTATTCCAAAATATACTTATGTGGAATTTTAATGCAGACATACAGCCAACTTAAGAATTTCCTTCTTTACTTCCACCAGCTATTCAGCCAGTCATTATACCTACACTGAAAATAAAAGAAACTACCAACTCCTCCCCCAATCCCCAGAAAAAAAAAAAACAAACCCAGAGGCCTTTTTTACAGTTTTGTTTGTTTTTTTGGGTTTTTTTTAATTGTTTGATTCTATGCATTTGATTCTATGCATTTGCATGAGCAACAGAACCCAAAGAATACCACCAGCAAACACAAAGCCCACAGTGGTAACTTTTCACACTGGATGTGCTAGAAAAGTCACTAATGTTACTATCCCTTCAAAGAAGACACTGCAGCATCCACGTAAGAGGACAGAATAAAAAAGAACATATGGTCCATTGGACCTGTATATATCTAGGAACTTCCTGTCATTTTCAGGTGACAACCCAAAACCAAGTCTGAAAACTGACAACCAAATACTTACATTAAAATTTCTTACTGTAATTTAAATTACTTCAAAATCGGCATATATCTTTTCCTCTGAAAAAAACCCAGCTATCATCTCTCTCTGCCACTTGCCTTCAGCATCTCACTGATGATGCTTAGGTACCTGGTAAGCAGCACACCAGAAACAAGCATCACACTAAGCCACAAGAGCACTGTGGTTCGTGCTGGAATTCACAACAGGAATGGGTTATGCATCTCCGTATGAGGCGGGGACGACACAGAGGAGCATTCAGAAAGAAGCAGGTCCGCATACAGTGGGAAGTGTGAGCACTCAGTGTGGCCTCCAGAGGACTTCATAAAGAAAATCATTAGATAGAATATACCAAAAATACATTCTTGACAAAATGGAGATTTTTAAGTATTACCTGCAACAACCCCAAGAACCAAGTCTTTTCCAGTGGTTGAATGCTGGCCTTTGACCCAGAGGGCTTTAAGACTATTAAATGTATAAAAATAAACAAAATTGGAGCAGCAAAGGCTGGAGATAACAGGGAACCATCCTCGATATGGTGCCAACCTAATGGAGAGCAAAAAATCACAGTAAGAATCAGCAAAGTATTTATGTGATCTGGCTGATTTTATGTGTTGGTAGAGGATCCCAGAGATACAATGCTGTATACTACAGGAAGTACTAACTAGGTATGTCTTTATCAGCAATGGTAACAAACTATACTTAACTCATGAGTAAGGAAAAAAAAGTATCTGGATTCTCACACAAAATTTAAAAACTGAAGACTAGTTACCGAAATTCACATCCTACACCTAGGAGAGTTTTGCAAAGGATGCAACCTGGGGACACAAGATATACAGGTGGGAAGAATTTCTAACAAATGCCTTACTGTAAAATCTAGGGCAAATCAGTCAGGTAAGTAAGAAAAAGGCATTACCTACTTAAATATAGCTAGATTAATCACAGATGAAAAACTGAGTATCATCTAAACCTGTCTTGATTTAGGAATGATTTCATAACAATGGACTAACAAAGCTCCCTTCTCTGACAGGCCTGATGATCCTGTAAAACAGGGACACTTCAACAGCTATCCTACATTCCCAACATGTTCTACAACATATCTAAACGAAAGATAATGATACACACCTTCACTGGAGTTGCACAGAACGAACAGACAACTGGTATCATGTTAAAAGCATAAAAAGTCACCTCAACAGTTGTAATTACGGAGGATCTTTAGAATTCATTAAAATACTGGGCGTACATAGAATTTAAGGATCTCTAATAAGACTGTAAAAGATGCAAGGCTGGTAAACACCACATATGACTTTTCTTAAAATGTAAATGCTACTTTTTCATCTCAAATCCAATGAGTGCTTCTCCCTCCCATGTAGCTGATAATACACCTTATTGTTACAACTGCTTCCGAAGTTAAAGCTAACCATACAGTTACAAATTAACTGACTATGCAGTTATTCATAAGCCAAATTAAAACAATTCTTCTATTACCTATCTCTTATGTGCTGGAAAAGAAAGAAAGAAACATCCTCTAGGGAGCATGTCCTCTAACTGAGTGTTAGTTTGGGCTTGGTTGATTTATTAAGAATGACTTCTGACGATTTTCAAATTAAACATCTTGCAGTACAAAACATGAAACTAAAACAAAACCCATGAGCTTATTTTAAAAACTTAAGTTGTCAGTAGTAGCATCCATGATTCACTGCAATCTTGAGAAAAACTTAGTGTACACTAGTGAACACCTTTCAGATCACCTAGAAAAGGAAGGGAGTGCAGGGAAGAAAGCTGCTTGATAAACTTCTGCAGGAAGTCCTTTAGCTCAACCTATTTGCTTTATCTAGACAAGAGAGTCTCACAAAAGTATGGTAATGAGACAAGACTCTACAAGCTTATCTGAGCAAAATGTTTATGATCTCGCATCACATTCCAGATTTGTTGCTGTCTGGAGTTTTTTTGTTACTTTAGACACATCTAAATTAGTACCACTGCTTCACCGGGCCTTCCCAATGCCTTCGGAAGAAGTAATGTTCCTCTCTTGTTGAGTGACTGATTTTTCTCCTTCACAGGAAAAGCAGGATGACCACTTTTGCAGTCTTTCTACCTCAGACAACTTCAATTTTATTTTTTTTTACTCTTTTCTTTCTTTTCTTTTTTTAATTGAAGTTTACTTGCCACCCTCACATGACAGTGGTAATGTGGGAAGGAGAACAAGAGCGATCAGCTGACAGAGAATTCCTCATGCATACAACTGCCCAAGTTCAAAGGTGACACAGCATTATGGGCCAAGTTAAACTTTTGTCAGCTTTAATGTCTAGTTTAAGCTCTAGTCTAGTTAGGAGTTCCAGGGATTCAGTTGGGAAAATACTTCTAACAAGGACAGGCATAAACTGTTTTTCCCAGACAGCTCAGCTCAGACTATGACAAATACTAAAGCACAGCACAGCTGTGCTTTTAGATAGATGTTGAATCCCACCAGTATAAAGTGTCATGTGTTGTTTACTTCTACATGCTTAGGAGAGGAAAAAACCTTCCAACTGGGAAACATGTCTCATTTCTCCTCTTGAAAGTGGCTCAGTTGTCCAGGAGTTTCATCTTGGTTACTGAGAAATTGACACACCCAAGAATCCAGGCAGACAAAGCTGGTTGATCAAGTATGTGAAGGTATATTTGCATTTCTGAGGAGGCAAAGCTACCTCACTAATGAAGGCACAGTTACATCACTGAACAGAGCAATTGCATAAGGTGCTCAAGGAAGTTAATCCTAGTTAGCTAAAGATGAACACATAAGACTATGTAAGTCATATCACACTTGTGTAGAGACATTTCAATTAGGAATAAAAATCTGTCTACATAGATACAGGCTAAGTGTTCCACTTTAAAAGCATATTCAATTTAGTTTTAGAGCTTGTCTACAAGATGACAAAATTAGAAAATTATTATCTACTCACAGGCCTTCTTCTTTGATTATTTCCAAAAGGACTGCTGGTGTTGTCTTTGACTTCCGCTTCTCATCAACTGGAAAGCAAAAGAATCAAACTTTTAGGTGATTCAAATTTTTAGCACTCTTTTTCAAGTCCTTATCCTCACAATTCTGAATATACCCTACAAATACATGTTTCATCTTCCTCATAAAGGACAGAAATATCCTATTTCTCCTTATTTTTTTTTGCTAGGTAAGACTACTTCCTTTTTTCATTCTTCCCCAGAGTGGCAGGTTCTGTTGTGCTCCAGAGTACCTGGATTTACCAGTTCCTAATAGTTGTGAGTTGAACTGAAGGTGGGTTCCCCTAGGTAAAGGGCTAGAATTGGACCTGCCTAGCTGCTCTCAAAATTATTCCTTGGACAGCAGACTAGCACCAGTAGCAGAGCAATCTCCTACAGTTCATCTGCAAACAGCTAAGCCTTAGCAAAGCAGTCTCTTCCTGCACTGAAAGCTGTTCGTTTCTCAACCACATATTTCAGGCAACCTGGCTGATGATCTCCCTCCAGCTCTTAACACAACTTTAGTCATAGCTCTAAAATGCTTGGTGATTCTGTGACTTTCGATTAGAAGACAGAGTTTTAGAACAACACAGTTTATACCTAGATGCATTTTTGTAAATATTGGATATTCCTAATCTCAATTCTAGCCCTGACTTTTCCCTTTAAAACATCCTCTGGAATAATTCTAGACCTGTTTTTCATGATATTGCCCCTGCATTTTGAAGTGTTCTCAGCAGCCAAAAACAACACACAAATCCTGTTCAATCTCACATCTTTGTTTTTGTCTTTGGTTTTAGATAATCCTTTAAAAGCCACAGAGCACACAGCCTTTTCAGCTAATTAAAAGGTTGCCCAACTTTCAAAAGAAAGAATTACCTTCAACTGGAAAAATGGTGTTACTGTGCCACAAGTAAGACTCTTGTTCACGTAGAACCTCCCCCCCTACAACCACCCAGGCCAAGATGAACAGAAACACCATTGTACAAAGAAACTAGATTTTGACACTTACCCTGAAGTCTAAGCCTAGCTGTATCCAAAGGAAAAAATACAGTCATTGCAGTCATACTGCCCTGAAAAACAAAATAAACTGGCTGTATAGTTTATCAGTTGCTTATACAGTGCCTGTTAGACTCTTGTAACCCTTCACTTCTCACCCACAAATCAGTCTGCTGAGCAAGTTTAAAAGGGGGATAAACTCCATATATAATAATGCATTTTTTTGTCCCATACTTACAAATAAGGTTTGTGAGTTTTGTTGTTTTTTTTCTCTTGCATTAGATCAAGCTAAAATTAAAATCATTAGAAGTTTTTTGCCAAAAGAGAAAGTTTTTGGAGCCTGAAAGTTGATCTAGTGGGCATCAGAAAACAAACATTGCACTTTCTCTACCTCCTATTACCCTCAAAAAGGCCCTCCCTGGCTTGGTGTAAACCTGTTTTCCATGCATCAGGTGGCTGCTAAAGCTGTGGCATCTCTTCTCTTAGCAGTCATGCAAACTGTTTCAATGGTGGGAAGGTCTGGGATATAGCAAGTCACTCCATGCTGTGTTTAGAGTATAGTGCACAGTATGACTTGAGCTTTTCTACAGCTGTCTTATGCCATACATTTAAGTGAGCTTTGCCTCTGGAAATACTCCAGCTCCTCAGCAGGCTGCTTGGATCTATCTCTACAACCAGCAACAGAGGATTCATTTTCCGTGTGGTGATTCCACACTGAAACAATTCTATGCTGAAGTGTTAACTAGACTTAAATTTTCTCCAGTATTCAAAACACTAGGTAGCAGATGTAAGACTTGGCCACAATTACCTGGTTATTTTAACCCATTTAGTTTGGGCTCTTGCCAAAACAGTTCATTTTGGTCTCCCATGTACTTGTCCTGTGTTGTATCATTCTCAGTACCTACCATGTACCCAGCTAGACAGCAAGTGGATTAATGAACCCATCTGACTGAAAATTTCTAAAAAGCGTATTTCAGTTAGAAGGGTAATGCCAGCAGCAAGAAGTGCCAGAAAGAGCCATAATACTCCTCCTAATGAGAGCTTCATTACCACAGTTTTGAAGACAGCCTCAAAACACAGTTACACCTACACACAGAATACAACTGCACAGTCACTACAACTTCCAGCTTTCCCCTGCTCAATTTATCCTGCTTCCATCCTCCCAAAGTGAGATTTATCCTGGATAAATGCAATGCACCACACAGCAGCAACACACACACACACACTTGCACTCAAAATTAGAAAATGGAAATGAGGAAATAGTCAGGTAGCATCATACAGGACACACTGGATGTGTGGCCACAAGACACAGAATAGTCTATTTCAGTTGGAAAGGACCTGCAGTGATCACATAATCCTGCTGCCCCCATCCCACTTTAGGGCTGACCAAAAGCTAAAGCACATTAAGTGCATTTCCCAAATGCCTCTTAAACACTGACTTAAAACTTCAATGGAACTATAGTTCAAGAGAACACCATTAGATAACTAAACTGACCTAATAGATCACTGTACATAAAAAACAATTTCTACCCTCTCCCCTTCTTTTGCTAAATTGAGAGAAATAGAAAAGCCAAGTTACTTTTCTCCTGTGCTTACAAATGGAACAACTCAACTACATGATGAGGAGGCTGCCAGAAGCATCACACGGAAGAGACAGGATTTCATGGCTAGAAGAAAGGAAAAGAGGGATGAGCAGGACCAGTCCTTTCCCCAGCAAAAGCCCTCAAGATGGACTCAGATTCCTTGCTAAACTGCATTGGGACCAGCAGGTAAAATTATACTACTGAGTGCAGAGCAGATGCTGCCATGTATTACCCTGCATTGCCGGAAGGGTGAGGCTTCACTGTCAGCCTTCACACCACCTCACTGTCAGCACTGGGTAGTTTGCCAAGTCACATTACCACTGAATAATCACAGGGACAGGTACAGACTGGTTCATGTAATCCCAGGCTCTTGGTCAACTGTATTTGTATCCCTACCTCCTCCAAGCTGGAGGCATAACTTTCTGGGCACCTACACAATGATGCAGACACAGAAACTAACCTGGCTGAAAAACAACTTTTTCCACTGGGCTACTTCTTCAGTCACATCAGTTCACTGACCAGCTGCAGCACCAGAGAAACAACGGTGCAGGAGCCAAGAGGTGGCCAGAAAAAATGGTCTGAGGTGACTGCTGCCAAAAAAATGTGTGCAGGACCGCAGCCTGAAGCTGGGCTTTATAAAAAACAGTAATAAAAAAACCCGTGAAACACATAAAAAAATTTTATCTGCTATTTTTTAGCCACCATTCTGCCAATGAAGCAGCCTGACTGCTCTATAATACTCCCATAAAATTCTCATCCCTATACCTTTTGCAACAGGAAGATTACATTTTAGCTACACGCAGAGTTAAAGAATACTTATGTAATTCAATTAAAGTTGACAGGAAATCAAGCACGGGGTTTTGTTTTTTTTTACTGTTCACAAATCTATTCCTTTATCTCAAATTTGACTAGGTTACCTAGAAGGTATATGAACTTTCAGTTTATTAGATTACAAACAAAAATTATCATGTTGTGGTCTGATATGTGCTTCTGATACATTAGCTCAACACAGTTCTGAGTTTACAGATGGATTTATGAGCTTGGTTCACACCACAAACTTTGTTCAGGGGCATAGTGTGACTACAGCAATCTGTATGTGAGAAGCTAACAGCAAGATCTAGAAAGTATCACTGACTTCTGTAGAAGACAGCAAAAGAAAAATGGGTAGTATTTCAATAATGAGATCATTTGAGAGAGCTCCACTTTTTGAAAGTGGAAACAAAATCCCCACAGCCTTTGATGTTTAAATAAGAAGACTTAAAACAACTTAAAGAGCAGACAAAAATCTTATGGTTTTTTATAATTAAACCAAAACACCCCTTAAAGTCTTGGTTTTCCTTTTAGAATCAGCCTTTATAACAGAATCACTGAATTGTCTGGGCTGGAAGACGACCCAGTCCAAACCCACCCCCCTCAAAGCAGTGTCACCCAGAGCAGGTGACACAGGAATGCATTCAGGTGGGGTTTGAATGTCTCCAGACAGGGAGACTCCATGACCTCCCTGGACAGCCTGTTCCAGTGTTTACCGTTCAATAACATTTAGCAACTTTCATCCTACAGGAGACATGAGGAATTCTTTCTATCCATCAGTATGCCCAATCCAACATGCTACATGCACTAAAATTCTTAATCTGTTGGAAGCAGAAGGCTGATTTACTACTTAGAGCTAGAATTTGGAAAAATTCAAGGGCTGGGCAAGCTAGGAAATCTACACGAATTAAATGCGACTTTTTTTTTAATTTGCAAGCGTCACATGTAAAACTAAATTCAGTAACCGACACAAACCACCTCCGGCTGCACTGCGCTCGCTTTACGTTTTGATTAGCAGCTATGCGCTGCCTCACCCTTCGCGACTCCTGAGCATTTCTGAGGCCGTGGCAGGAGGCCGGTGCTCGGTCCGGCTCTCGGATTACACAGCTGAGGTGCTGCCCCTCTGCCCGAGTTTAGATTTTCACCGCTGAAGGGATGCCCAGCTCCAGGTGCGCCAAACCGGCTTTCTGAGGGGCAGCTCCCCGCAGCTCCCGCTGGCTCAGAGGCGGCTCCGGCTGCTCAGGCCCGGCGCCGGCCTCCAGCTTTGCCAAGCCCCGAGCCGGTTCCCCGCCCCGGCCCGGCCCAAAGGCAGCCGGCGGCCCGCGCCCCCCGCCAG